ATCCGTTTGAAACCGGTCAAGGGTTCGGACCAGCCAAGGGTTTGGAACCAGTCGGATCTCATCAGTGTCACTTATTTAAAACATACAGGTCGGTGATTTGGGCTAACACATGAAGGATCTACTGGAAATTATTTAACCGAGTAATATGTGATTTGATTGATACAAAAGTATAACTTGCGTGTTGAAGAACCGGTGACTGCTGGCAGCTCCTACACTGACGAACGGTCGAGCCTCAACCCTTGTTTATAGATCACTGTACTTGACTCAAGAAATCGTAATGACACGATTGCAAATAAACCATACCCCCGGCCGGGATTGAACCCGCGGTCATAGAGTCTCAAAACTCCAGCCCGTCGCGTTAGCCACTAGACCAGCTAGCCACAATAAGATTCATCCAACTAGGTATATTTCTACACCATAGGAAAGTTAGCACAGGCACCTCTGTGACCACAAATGCAAGTTTTTACAGACGAATCTCCAGCTAGCGTGGCCGTGACGAACTCTAGCTCAAGTCCCTTCACGACGGGCTAGAGTGTATGAGACTATGACCGCGGGTTCAATCCCGGGCCGGGGTAGGTTTATTTAGCAATCGTGCATTACGATATTTCTGAGTCATGTTGACGGCAGTGAAGGGACTTGAGTTTTAGAGTTCCGTCACGGCCACGCCCAGCTGGAAAATTCCCTCTGTAAAACTTTATTTTGGTCACAGAGGGCCTGTCTAATTCCTTGGGTAGAAATATTCTATTGGATGAATCTTATTGTGCTAGCTGGTCTAGTGGCTAAGCGACTGAGCTGGAGTTTGACTATCGCACCGCGGGTTCAATCCCGCGGTGGATGTTTTAAGAGCTCACTGTATCTAGCTTTTACTAGATATTTTTTTTTCGTCTCCACCACACAATGCTATATACCTCACTATAGTTGACTGGTGGAATTTTTGGAGGAAAGACGCTTTTCCTGTAGTAATATTTGCTTCTCGTGTATATTGCGACCGCTGGTAACTACAGGTTATATGAATTTCACTGTATACGTCTGGTATTTCAAGAAAAGAGAAAGAAACTAATGAAAGTCACTCCACTAAGTATCATTATATTACTGGTTAGTTGCTACTACAACACTGAATTCTCCTATTCACTAGTATCACTAGATTATATGCGAGGTACACTAGCAGGCCAGGAAGATTATTAAAACAGCTGACCTGTGTTTTTACCTGGAGTTTACCTGGAGAGAGTTCCGGGGGTCAACGCCCCCGCGGCCCGGTCTGTGACCAGGCCTCCTGGTTGGTAAGTTTCTGGCACCTGCCTCTTTAGGCTTATCACTTCAGTTACAAATTCACCTGTTCTAAATGACACTTTAGCATTTATTATCTATATACGAGGGTGCCACTGTAGTATACACTATAACACTATGTATACACAATATTATCAGGGAGACTTTCTTTCCTCTGACAAAGAAAAGTTCTATTATTATTTTGCACACTAACGATTTTATATTTTAATGGAATGTACTGCAAACACCATTGATTTATTAGGTTTAAAGCCTATCTACTACACAAAGATCATGATTTATTTATTGGGTTTAAAGCCTACTACTTCACGAAGGTCATGATTTACTGGGTTTAAAGCCTACTATACAAAGGTCATTAATGATTTATTGAGTTTAAAGCCTATATACTACACAAAGGTCAAGATTTATTGGGCTTAAAGCCTATCTACTTCACGAACGTCATGATTTGCTGGGTTTGATAATCAAAAAAGCCCTAAACCCACTAGGGTATTGGGTTTAAAGCCTATTTACACGGTCATTAAGGCTGCATGTAACCTATGCACCACCTGTCAAGAATATTTTTAATACCTAAAATATTAACCAAAGTCCAGTAATATTGAACAGGTGTTTAGCTTTAACTCATCGCAAAATTACTAAAAAGTTCCAAAGTCAATTTTTAAAAATTATAATCTTAACACTACACAAATAACCCGCACATGGACAAGAGGCGCTTACGACGACGTTTCGGTCCGACTTGGTCCATTTACAAAGTCACACTAACAAGGCGAGCAGAAAGGGTATATATAGGCAGGAAGTGGTAGTAGTGGTGGTAGTGGTGGTGGTGGTGGTAGTAGTGGTAGTAGTAGTAGTAGTGGTAGTAGTAGTAGTAGTGGTGGTAGTAGTAGTAGTGGTGGTAGTAGTAGTGGTGGTAGTAGTAGTAGTAGTAGTAGTGGTAGTAGTAGTAGTAGTAGTGGTGGTAGTAGTAGTAGTAGTAGTAGTAGTAATAGTAGTGGTGGTAGTAGTAGTAGTAGTGGTAGTAGTAGTAGTGGTGGTGGTAGTAGTAGTAGTAGTGGTAGTAGTAGTAGTGGTGGTAGTAGTAGTGGTGGTGGTGTAGTAGTGTGGTGGTGTGAGTAGTAGTGGTGGTGGTAGTAGTAGTAGTGGTGGTGGTAGTAGTAGTGTGGTAGTGTAGGTGGTGGTGGTAATAGTAGTAGTAGTGGTGGTAGTAAATAGTAGTAGTAGTAGTGGTGGTAGTAATAGTAGTAGTGGTGGTAGTAATAGTAGTAGTAGTGGTGGTAGTAATAGTAGTAGTAGTGGTGGTAGTAATAGTAGTAGTAGTGGTGGTAGTAATAGTAGTAGTAGTGGTGGTAGTAATAGTAGTAGTAGTGGAAGGAAGTAGTAGGGAAGGAGGAGCCAGTCAAATACTAAGAGGAGCACTGCAAGAGAGCTGGTGCCCACAGAGGGCAAGAGCAAGAACGCTAAACCCAACGGCTCGTACATTATGACCATAAAGAAGCGCTAAACCTACAAGGGTCATACAATATAATAAAGAAGCGCTAAACCCAACGGCTCATACATTATAACCATAAAGAAGCGCTAAACTTACAAGGGTCATATAACCATAAAGAAGCGCTAAACCTATAAGGGTCATACATTATAACCATAAAGCGCTAAACCTACAAGGGTCATACATTATAACCATAAAGAAGCGCTAAACCTACAAGGGTCATACATTATAACCATAAAGAAGCGCTAAACCTACAAGGGTCATATAACCATAAAGAAGCGCTAGACCTACAAGGGTCATACATTATAACCATAAAGCGCTAAACCTACAAGGGTCATACATAATCATAAGCACTAAACCTACAATGGTCATACATTATAACTATAAAGAAGCGCTAAACCTACAAGGGTCATACAATCATAAGCGCTAAACCTACAAGGGTCATACAATCATAAGCGCTAAACCTACAAGGGTCATACAATCATAAGCGCTAAACCTACAAGGGTCATACAATCATAAGCGCTAAACCTACAAGGGTCATACAATCATAAGCGCTAAACCTACAAGGGCCATACATTATAATCATAAAAAGCACTAAACCTACAAAGGTCATACATTATAACCATAAAGAAGCGCTAAACCTACAAGGGTTATACATTATAACCATAAAGAAGCGCTAAACCTACAAGGGTCATACATTATAAGCATAAAGCGCTAAACCTACAAGGGTCATACATTATAACCATAAAGAAGCGCTAAACCTACAAGGGTCATACATTATAAGCATAAAGAAGCGCTAAACCTACAAGGGTCATACATTATAACCATAAAGAAGCGCTAAACCTACATGGGTCATACACTCATTAGAATCTCAAAGGGTCATTACCCCCCCTCCAAAAAGTAAACAAAAAATTACGTAAATTAGGCTTTTGGAAAATAGGAATAAATTTAACTTATATCAACTTATTAAAAAATGGCAACTGCAAAAAATTGTACTATCAACTTTAAATCATAGTTTACTAAACATTAAAACCAGAAATTACAAAAAACTTACATACAGTATGACATTTAAATCTTAGTTTATTATAATAATTCTATAAGGCATCCACCATATTAGTATACATGGCAACAAAGTCCATATATAAAACGCTGGTGTGGAAAATACTGCATATATTTTCCAGAAATTCAGTATTTATATGTAAATAGATGGCCATACTGTATTTAATAATATTTAAGTCAGAAAATGGAAAGCCTGCGTCTGCGCAGATGAGACTCGCCATCTTGGTTTTTGAATTTCTATTAGAACGTTGGTGTAACGGGTAGAAATTTTCGTGCTCTAGAGGTTAAAATTGTGTTGACACCTCTCAAATAGGAGGCGAAATTGTTGGATGTGCACTCCTGCATAACTCGAGATATCAGACGACTGGACAAGACAGCTCCAGGAACCTCAGATAAGCTCTCTAGATTTGTGTAATTCTGGCCAGCATTATTTTCATAGATTTAGTTAGAGGTTTTCTGAGTATGATACACATTAATCTCCAGTCAAATTGGTGAGTGATATTAAGATATATTTTCCTTCTGTTATGTAATTGTGTGGTTTAGAAAGACACGTAAGCAAACACTATAACATATTTATTAGAAAACGTTTCGGTCCTGGGACCTTGATCACTTTTAACATGTTAGAAGTGATCAAGGTCCCAGGACCGAAACGTTTTCTAATAAATATGTTATAGTGTTTGCTTACGTGTCTTTCTAAACCAACTTGTCGGTATTTATTACCAAGGTTTATACCATGTAATTGTGTATATATATAACCATTTATTTTTAATATACAGTCCACAAATTTATATATTTACCAGTATTCCTGGTGTATGTATATTTCATTTAATTAATACCGGCGAATAAAAAAAAAATAGGTCCAGAGCAACTTGTGGTTATGAGTGGTAGGTATCGAAGGGGGACATTTTTTGCGACCTAGGTGTCCCAAATTCCTACTTGTCTATGTAACATTGATAAATAATAATTATCTTTGTTATCATTTACTGTTATGTACATAATTAGTTACATTCAGATAAATGCAATTTTCCACAACTGGAATAAAAATTTCTAGATTATTTTACAGAATTATTTTCAGATATATATATATATATACATTGTTTATACTATCATGTAAATCCATTAGTTATTATAAATAACCAGTAATTTAGGAGAAATAAAGGAAAATATATCTTACCACAAGAGCGCGCGCCCTCACTCCATCTTCTCCGGCGCATGACTCGAGGCGCCAGTTTACGCGGGCTCCCGCGTAGGAGTTTGAGCGTTCTCATTGGCTGATCAACAGTGACGTCACAACTGCTAGATCTTGGCGCTCGAACCCGTGACGTCAGGCTAAATCTAGGTTGTAATTGGCTGCTACTTCCCGCCAACTTAGCAACTTGCGTTTTGATTGCTGGTGCTAAGAAATAAGATGGACTCTTGATCCAAGGATTTGGAGCAACCTTACCCTAATAAAAACCAAATTACATTTATAATGTAGAAATACGTATCTCTCAATGCATGCCCGAAATGCCTAGCCATGCTAGGTGTTCTAGTGGTACACTGTAATTATTATTTTACTACATGTAAACCACACAATAACCAAATTCTGTAAACTCAGCATTGTAATCCTTATAGAGAATAAACTTTGAGAACAAGTACATATATACACACTGATAACTATATACAGACATTTCAAGTTTACATCAATCCCCATAGCCCCTGGGGAATGGAATATATCCCCATGGCATGTTGGGAATGGAATACCCCCATAGCCCCTGGGGAGTGGAATTATCCCCCATAGCCCCTGGGGAGTGGAATTATCCCCCACAGCCCTGGGGTGGAATATCCCCAGCCCCTGGGGAGTGGAATTATCCCCCACAGCCCCTGGGGAGTGGAATTATCCCCCACAGCCCCTGGGGAGTGGAATTATCCCCCCACAGCCCCTGGGGAGTGGAATTATCCCCCTACAGCCCCTAGAGTGGAATTATCCCCCTACAACACCTTGGGAGTGGAATTATCCCCCTACAGCCCCTGGAGAGTGGAATTATCCCCCTACAACACCTGGGGTGGAATTATCCCCCTACAGCCCCTGGGGAGTGGAATTATCCCCCACAGCCCCTGGGGAGTGGAATATATTCATGGCTACTGGGAATGGTGGCTCAGATTCCTTGGATCAAGATCCTTCCACCGTGGCTATGGTCCAGAAAATTTAAAATTGACCACTTAAGTGGTAGTGAATGGTAAAGTGACAAGTTACAACCGACCATAAACGATCACATGTAAGGGGTAAAATGACATTACAACCTAACACTTACCACTTAAGTGGTGGTGACAAAGTTACAACCAATTACTGTAATTGGTAGTGACACAACTTACCAATTATTAGTGGTAAAGTGGCAAGTTACAACCACTTATGTAAGTGGTACGTGACGATTGACAACCACTTACGTAGACAAATTACCACTTACCATGTTTTACAAAATTATTACTTCAGATATATACTTTATATAACCATGTAAAAGCATTAGTGTAAATGACCAGTAATTTTGAATTATTATTATTATAATCAAGGGGGAAGCGCTAAACCCAGATTATACAGCGCCTGGGGGGGATGTGGAAGGCATTCAGGCTTAATTCGGAGAACTGGAGCACAGATTCAATTCCCTAAATCAAGAGCCCCTCACCAACATAAAGGAACCTTCCTTGAGGGGAGTAATTTTGAAGAAATGATAAAATTCTTACCAGAGTGCGCACCTCCCGCCACTTTCTCCCGCGCATGACTGAGGCGCCAGTTTTCGCGGGCTCCCGCACCACCACCAACCTGTCATGTAGGAGCCGCTGAACAGTGATTGGCTGATCGACAGTGACGTATGTATGGGCAAGTGACGTCACGAATACTGATTGGCTGCTGGGTCTTTGCGCTCGAGCCCGTGACGTCATAGGTTAACTCTAGACTAGTTGGCTGCTGCTTCCCGCCAACTTAGAATTTGGCTGTGGCCAGGAAAGGTTGATGAGCTCTTGATCCAAGCATTTGGAGCACCCTCTTAATAAAGCTCTCTCTTCACACGTGGAGTGTTCGGGTTCGATTCCTGGCGAGGTGGAAACATTTCGACGCATTTCCTTACACCTGATGTCCCGTTCGCATAGCAGTAAATAGGTACCTGGGTGTTAGTGGACTGGTGTGGGTGGCATCCTGGGGGGACAAGACTGAGAACCACAGTGGAAATAACACACAGTCCCTCGATGACTCTCTGACTTTCCTGGGTGGTTAACCCCCGGGATTAAAAATCCGAAAGAAATCTTATAGTGTAAATTACCTAGGATAACCCCCCCCCCAAAAAAAAAAAAGATCAGTCAAAGTGACTTATTTCGACTGGGGTCCTTTTAATACCTTATTATTTTACTTTAAAGGAGATAATATCTTATTATTATACTATAAAGAAGATATATTAGGAATAAGGTAAAATAAGTTATTTATATTTACATGTGTGTTAGCTAAAAAAATTAATAATCATTCTCCCTTTCTGTCGCTACATTCATTAGGTACCTTTTGGCTCTCTTCTTGAACTGCTTTATTTTATGACTGGCTTTGACATGTGCAGTCTGTATAATATAAGTTGTTGGAAGCAGTGTTAGTGTATTATAGGATATTAACTTATGGGAGATAACTACAACATGTCTTTTCCGCTTGACTTTAAATTTTAAAGTTGGCCTTTATTTGGGTGACAAAAAAAACGAAATAAATGGCTCTTGGTCCAAGGAATTGGAGCTACTATTCCCTTCCTTGAATAAAACCTAATTTTATCTGTCCCAGAGAATCTATGACCCTTGTGTGTTTAGTGCTTTCCAATAATAATAATAATAATAATAATAATAATAATATTATTATTATTATTATTATTATTTTTTTTTTATATTTTATTTAAAACCAATACAGTTTAACATAAAAATAAAGAAACAGTATGGAACCTAATCAAATTAACTGACAAACGGATTGTACTTACATGCTCGCAAGATATTACAACAAAAACTTACATCAAGAACATAACTAAAAACAAAATTACATGTCACAGGGTCATGAATTGACATATATACAAAACCTTGCATATATATAAATTGTACATATAAATGACATCTGACAAAGGTTCAATACACTTGAACATAAAATATACAAAGAAGTTATATCAGTTAAATCCCATCCTTCACATTAATCAAAAAACCAAAACCTAACATCATAATCTGACTAGATAATCTACATACTTATCCCTAACAATACAGCTGAACATATCCCAACATACAAATAAACAGAAAAGAATACAGCTTAGAACACAATAACAAGCTCTATACTGTTACAATACACCCATATAAAACTTTCAGACAAATGGACTACGTCACTAAACTGTCTAGATATGTCTGTATACCATACAGACTAAAACTTAACATCAAGAACTTGCATGAACACCAAACCGGTATCAGGGTACAGACCTTAATTATAAACTTTAAAAAGAATCAATCATGCGTATATAAAGTATTACATAACGTCTGACCCATGACAAAGGCTCAATACAATAGAAAGAGATATATATTTATATATATACACATACACACCCACACACACACACACCCACACCCACATCCACACACACACCCACACGTACACAAAAATTTTCACAAAATCACATTAATCATATGCACTGTATGCACAATGCAAAACAGGATATAAGTATCTCTCATCGTGCAAAAACCCAGCACGTAACATAAATACAAACTAAAACACACTGCATGTCGCAAATAACTTATTTCTCAAGAATCATGTTATACAAGACTGATACACATCATAATTATACATAAATCTACTATATTATACCTACATTCTGAAAAGTGTTATATCTTATTATTATTATTATTATTATTATTATTATTATTATTATTCAAGGGATCGTCTTTAAAACAGTATGGTCAGATCGTTTCAGTTTTCTCTGAATAAAAATTCACAGAAAACGAGAAAAAATGTGACGAAATGCTAGGAATATGATAACTAAAAAAAAGAATTGTAATTTTTTTTAGTCGTACAGATTCACATACTTGTCTAATTTCGCTGCTGATTTGCTTGATTTATGATAATCCAAATTTATATATATTTCAGCTGGAATTTTGACCAGGGATTTCGTCTGGGGATTGCATCATCTGGATGCGGATTTTAAACCCGAAGGGTTAGTAATCCCGTAACTGTAAATTGTGAGTTCATTACCTTTGTAAATTGTGAGTTCACTGTAAATTGTGAGTTCATTACCTTTGTAAATTGTGAGTTCATTACCTCTGTAACTTGCTCAGCTATCAAAACTTTGGAGTCCAGTCCCTGGACCCATTATGTACCTCTGTAATCTTTTGACTACCGCCCACAGGATGGGTATGGGGTGCATAATAAACATATTAAACTAACTAGTAATCCTGTTGGGTTATCCTAGGTAATCTACACATGTACTTTTATGTATGATAAGTTATGTAATTGTATTTATGTGTACCTGTAGCTGAATAAACTTATTTATTCAATAAAACTATATCGTCAAACTGCTTGGCTTATTTTCACTTATTTTCTCTCCCAGGATGCGACCCACACCAGTGGGTACCTACTTACAGAGGCAGCAGGTGGCAATAATGGACATAAGTCACTTAATATACCTTTTTATGGGGTTATCCTAAGTGATTTACACATATGTTACTGTGTATGATAATTATACTTATGTGTATTTGTACCTAAATAAACTCACTTATTTAAGAAAACGTTCCCGTGATTTCTGTTCGCCCGGGGATCGAACCCGGGACCTTTAGTTTGTAAGTTTATTTAGGTACAATTACACAATTTTTGGATGCTTACAACTGCGTTACGCAATAAATGTGCAAATTACCAAGGATAAACCACCAAAATAAGTCAAACAAACTGTGTGTCTGCCAGAAATGCACGTATATGCTAGAAGCTTTCTTTGTACGTACTTAAAAACGTTTTATTGTTTGCAAACTACACTTTGTACACTACACAAAGAAATAAAATTTGATTTGGGTTGAATTGAGGCCGCTACCAACTGAGCCACGAGCACCCGATCAACTTTACTTGTAACTAACAATACAGGTAGGCCTATGGGACGGGTCCATATGGTCGACTCTTCCCCATCAGCGCCGTCATGAGGAAACTTTTACATAGGTCATCCCCATCAACTTCACATGTGTACGTGGATGGTGTCCTCGTAATCCCAAACATTTCGACTTCAGAGCCTGCAGAACATCCTCCTCGCTGAACCGGCAGATTCATTTTCACTCTTGAAGGGGAGATTAACGACAGGTTGCTGGTGTTCGACGTCCGCAGCCACGAAGTTGATACCATCTCAACATTCAAAGTTTGAACACAGGAAATCTTCAAACAAAAATAACCTTATTATATATATAATATATATATATATATATATAATATATATATATATATATATATATATATATATATATAATATATAATATATCAATGCTCTTCTTGCCGAATGAGGCATGAGAAAATCTGTTTATTATTAAATTATTGTAAACTTAAGTAAAATATTTAGTTGGATTAGGCTTAATTAAATTGTGCTTGTTATAATAAGATTAGGTAAGTTTTCTAAGGTTATTTTAATACAAAATTATTAATTTTGACATTAACATAAATGAAAAAAACTACATCTTTAAACGTATAAGAGAAAATTTTAGAAATGTCTTAACTTTAAATGAGTTCTGATATAAGGGTGACTCAGTAGCGTTATTCCATGTCTTCCCACGTTTCTTAGATTATCAGCTACCGAGAGTATTTTCAGTAGTTCTAGTCTTCTTAAGTTTTATTTTTTAAGGTGGGACCCTAATGGAAATAAATCACTTTGACTTTCTTTTAGGTTATTCTAGGTAATTTACGTTATGTATGATAATTGCACTTATGTACTCCTGCACCTAAATAAACTTAATTCTCAACATCCTGTCCCTCTTTCCTTCCCTTCTTATCCCTTGTCCCTCCAGGGTTAAAAATCCGAACAAAATCTCATCTCTAATCTTAACACTTTTCCCTTATCACCTCTCTTCCTCATTCCCCTTTTCCCTCCTTCCTTCGTTTTTGCTCTCCCATTCCCTATTCCCCATCACTCCCCTCCCATCCCCCTGTGTGGACATTAGTGTCAGCTGGTGTCCCTCGCTTGTTTCAACACTGTTTGGAACAAGCTGAGCGTGGAGATGTATTGTTTAGCTGTATTTAAGTGTGGATGATTATGAGTGGGCGTATTGAGCTCGTTCATCTTGTCAACAATGTTCGAATATGTGTATGTGTGTATGTGTGTGTGTGTGTGTGTGTGTGTGTGTGTGTGTGTGTGTGTGTGTGTGTGTGTGTGTGTGTGTACTCACCTATTTGTGGTTGCAGGGGTCGAGTCCTAGCTCCTGGCCCCGCCTCTTCACCGGTTGCTACTGGGCCCTCTCTCTCCCCGCTCCATGAACTTTATCAAACCTCGTCTTAAAACTGTGTATGGTTCCTGCCTCCACTACGTCATTTTCTAGCTATTCCACTGCCTTACAACTCTATGACTGAAGAAATACTTCCTACTATCTCTCTGACTCATTTGTGTCTTCAACTTCCAATTGTGGCCTCTTGTTTCTGTGTCCCCTCCCTGGAACATCCTGTCTTTGTCCACCTTGTCTATTCCACGCAGTATTTTATATGTCGTTATCATGTCTCCCCTGACCCTCCTGTCCTCCAGTGTCGTCAGGCCGATTTCCCTTAATCTTTCTTCATAGGACATTCCCCTTAGCTCTGGAACTAACCTTGTCGCAAACCTTTGTACTTTCTCTAGTTTCTTGACGTGCTTTATCAAGTGCGGGTTCCAAACAGGTGCTGCATACTCCAGTATGGGCCTGACATACACGGTGTACAGTGT